CCCCCCCCCCCCCCCCCCCACCCACCCACCCATCCATCCACCCCCCTATCTATCCCCTCATCCATAAAAAGGGCTCAGGGACAGAGGGTGACTAGGAGCCAGCTGATCTAAGTACCTTAAAATCTGGCATGGTAGCTCTATGACAAATGCCCTCTTTGGCTACTTTGTTTTGTAATTAGGTCCCTAATCACTGTGTACTGGAGCCGTTTCCCTTACCCGGACCTTCCACAGGTCCTTCCCTCCCTCTATGCTTCTGCACAACTCACATCCTGGAAGGTGTGCATGGTGACAATGATCTCATTGGTTAATGCGGAGCAGTCTTCATTCTCATTGGCTACAAAGAGAAGCAAGATGGGTGGGCAACAAAAAGACTACCAGTAGGAGCAGAGGGTAGGGCTGTAAAAAAGGGTAGCTGGGAGAGAAGAGCAGGAAGTGAACAGGGCTCCTGGCTTACCTGCCTTTCTCCGGAAGCAGAAAGAACGGAAGGGGCACTTGCCATGCCAGATATGAAGATGGGGAACCAGCTGGCTACTACTGTCATCCACATTTTCCCAACCTGGGGAGGGGACAGACGCAGAAGGCCTTAGAGCGCAAGGCCTTCCACAAGTATTTAAGGAGGCTGTGGAGAGGCATCAGGATGTCAAAAGACAGAAGGGTCTCAAACCAATGGAAATCCAAGAGCTTGAGTGGGCACCTCAAACTGGCCTTGTTTCTATGCCTGTTTCTATATCACACACACACACACACACACACACACACACACACACACACAGCTCCTCAGCCTCCCTTCCTCTATCCCACCTCTTAAAGCAGCTGTATATCCCAGAAATGTTCCCATCAACAGAGGACCCCAGAAACACCGTCAGCATCCCTAGCCTTAAGAAAGGCCCAGGTAGGCAAGCAAATTCAGAACGCAATTCCCAATTGAGGTTGCTCTCACTTCCAGCCTCCCACCTCACATCCTTCCATTTCAGGATGACTACTGAGGACTGAGTGAGAGACAGAGGAAGGTGAACAAAGCCAGGAGGCTGCTGGGAACCCAAGTGCAGGAAATACACTTGGGGTTTCTGGATTTCCTGGAAGACTAGAGGGGAGACCTGAACCCTCCCTCTCACAGGAAAGATCATTGGCCTTGTGTTTGGTCCTTTTTCTTTGGGTCCACCATGGGGCTGTTCATTGGTGATAGCCCACTGCAGGGCGCAGGGGGTATTGTTCAGGAAGTAGACACGCAACTGCAGGTGGGTCTGCCCCGGTGCCAGTGGGGAGCAGAACACTGCCAGCTGCAGCCACTTGCGGGCTGTCTGGCCCAGGGGCGCCTCCAGAATGCAGGTGTAGAGGCTGTGGAGGGAAATGGTGGCAGACACCCATGCATAAACATCAGGATGGCCAGGATCCCAAGGTGCCTACCACCATGTTCCTGTCACTAAACAGTTCTAAGTGGGTGAGAAGAGCACTCCAAATTGGCATAGAAGGAGGACCAGGTGAGAGACCGAGTGCCTTAAAGGGTCAAGAAGTGAATGGGCCATGATGACTGTGATGCTAATAATGTCAGCTAGATGGGATCTAGAATCTCCATGGAGATAAATCTCTGGGTGTGTCACTGAGGGAGTTTCTCACTTGAGTTATTGAGGCAGGAAGACCCACCCTAACAGACAGGATGGGGTTCCTGGGCAGCAACAGCCATCTCTTTCTCTAATGCTTGACTGAAGAAGCAACACGACCAGATGCCTCAAGCCCCTGACTCCATGATTAACTGTAGCCATGAAATGTGTCTTCCTTCCTTAGGTTGCTTTTGTGGGGTGTTTGTCACAGCAGTGAGAAGGTGACTTCCACCTACTGGGGAGGCAAGCCAGTATGTATTATCTGGCAGCAGAGACAAAGTAATCATGGGGTCCCCACAATTTGAAGGAGGCCCTGCACATGGTCCTCCTGGGAGTTAATGGGTGACAAGGAAACTGGGAAGCAGAGGACTAAGACCCTAAGAGATGGAGAACAGACATGATAGGAGCCTGAAGGGGACAACCTGCCCTTGCTTAAGAGTTTGGGGGCAGTCCTGAAGCAGAGCACAGGATAGAGAGGGGCAGCTATAAAAGACAGATATGGGGATGGGACAAATTCCAACCTTTTGACACCACTTACAATCACACTCAAGAACCAAGCAATTAAATTTCAAAACAAAAAACTCAATGTTTTAAGCAAGTCTACAATTTTGTTTTGGGCCTTGTTCGAAGCTCTTTGGGCTGTGTGGGGCCTGGGGACTGTGAATTGGACATGCCTCTTAAACAGAAGGATGAGTTGAATCAGGTGCCCCCAGATAGGCAGAGAGACAGCAACGGGAGACAGTCTCAGATGGGGTTTCAATGACAGAAATGACTGCAGGCTCAGAGAGGGACACAAAGATCCTAACAGACTGTGAAGTATCCTAGATGAATAAAGAGGCAAGCAGCTCTGACACAAAGATAGAAGGAGGCAGACAGAAAAAGAGGACTCTGCCAGAGAGGCCCAGAGCAGGGGGACAGGCCAATGGAAAAGTCACCTGAAGTGAGAGAGCAGGATACGACACTCATCCCGGGAGATACAAGCCTTGGGCCGGCCCAGAGGTCTCCAGTCCTTGGCATCCAGCAAGGAAGTATTGCTGTTGTAGGCACAGGCCTGACTGGGCTGCTGGGCACAGTGCTTGAACGTGAGGGTACAAGGCTTCAGGAAAGAGGCCCCATGAGGGTCACATGCCACCACAGGACTCACTAGCCCCTGTCTGTGAGACAACGACGGGGCATCTGTCAGGTCCCACACCAGAACCAAGGACACCCTCTCCTGGCGACCCACCGCCACAGCACCTGGAAGGACAAAGGGCTGAGATGAGTCTATCAAGTGGGAGTGTTCTGTCCCTTAAAGGAGGCCAGCCAGGGGACCTGAGCCCAAAGCCCAGCACTGAGGGTGCCCAGCAGAACACCAAGAGGCTGTATGGAATGAAGAAGTCCACCATGAGCTGACTTAGGGTTCAGTTCTAAAGCAGTCCCCATGTCCTTCCAGGATCACAGCCACTTGTATGGGGACTTGTGTGACTTCACACGTCACAGTCTTCCTTCCTTTGTTTGAAGACTTGTCATAGCAGGCTGTCTTTAGAACAAGGCATTTTACTTCTGCCTACAGGGAAGCTATCCCAAAAGATGTGTGGAGATTCATCTTTGGAACCAAAAAATAAAAAAAGCTAAAACATAAATACAGTTTTCTAAACTCCAAAGTTACCTGTGGGAGGAGCTCAGACAGGATATCCTACCTTGCTGCCTGAAGAACTCTGCCAAGAAGGATGCAGGGAGTGGTTACCTGGCGGAATGAACAGGGAAATGCCTGTGTCGTGCAGCATCAGGCATCCGCCACGGTGATCCACCTCGCGAGCAGAATATACCAGTAGCTTATGCATCAGCTGTTGGGTGATAGTCTGGCCCCGGGTGGGTGTGTGGAGTTCCTGATAGAACGCAGCCGCCTCCAGCAGTGTCTGGGGTGGGCACTGCCTTGGGAGCTCATATTCTGGTAATGGAGTGGGTGGTGACACTGATTCCTCTTGGTCATCTGGCTTCCGGCAGGTCCCTGGCAGCCACCGAGAACAGTGCCATAGCAGGCATTGAACCAGAAGGAAAGCGCTGGCCACAGGGATCCCCACCAACAGGAGAAACTGGGAAGGGTGGACAGAACTCTCCTGGGGGCTCATCGGCCTGGTCACTCCTGCACCCCTGCACCAGCCAAGGCCAAGGGCCTGAGAGGAAAGTGGGTGAAGTCAGTAGGGTTGGGCTGCTTTAATTTGTGGAAGCCAAGGCTTCACTCCCCTACAGGATGCATGCTCACCTCTTACTTTTCCCCTTCCCCCATGCAGACACACACACACACACACACACACACACACACACACACACACACACACACACACACTCAAGAATATTCCTGAGCTAGGCATGGTGGTACACATCTGTAATTCCAGCCCTTGTGAGGCAGGAAGATTTGAAGTTCAAAGCAAACTTGGGCTACAAACTGAGACACTGTCTTGAAAATAAAGAGCTTCCCACGGTTCTTCAAAACCTAGTTGCAGCAAAGTCCTGGCCATAAGAACTTATATTCCAAGTTAGAGAATGTGAGTTTAAAGCCACGTTGGTCAATGTACCTGTTATGATTGTCACATTGCTTAAGATACTTCAATGTTTCATCCGTCCAGATATCTACTTTTGAGTAGGTAGAGGTACACACCTATAATCCTAGCAATCAGGCAACTGAGGCAGGGGAATCCTGAAGCCAACTTGGGTGCCATAGCATCTCAAAAACAAAATCTACCTTTTTCTATGAGCACTCATAAAAAAACAAAACAAAGCAAAACAAACAAAAAAAAAAAAAAACCTGTAAGGGAAAAAGCAGCTTCCAATCTCATGGGTATAAAATACATGTATAGGCTGAGGGTAGAGCACTTTGTGTACACAAGGCCCAGAGTTTGAGCCCAAGTAACATGTGAAGAAAGCACGCTGTGTGAGAGAGAGAGAGTGGGGAGAGGAGAGAGAGTGTTTGTACATTATAGAAAAGTGTCTTCAGTAGTGTGTATGCCATAAAACACAAGCCAATTATGTAATCTGACATATTTTATTGGTCACATTACAAAGTAATAGCAGGGGCTGAAGAGATAGACATCTCAGTGATTAAAAGCAGCTACTACTCTAGCAGAGATCTGAGATTCAGACCCCAGCATCCATGTTGGGTGGCTCACAACTGCCTATGACTCCTGCTCCATGGGATCCAGCACCATCTTCTGGCCTCTGTGAGAACCCACACACAGGCATACGCTCACACAGACATACACATACATACACATAAGGAATACCAAAATAAATATTTTACAGTAATAATAATATTTGTATTTAATCCAACACATTCAAAATACTATTTGGGCAAGCAGTGAGTATGAACTCATTGGTGAGCTATTTCCCACCGGACTCCATGAGTACTTTACACTTAGGGCACAGTTTGGCTGGGACTTGCCATAGTTCACACTCTTGGTTCCATAATGACTTGTGTCTTTGTGAAAGTCTGGAAGGACGTACCCCTGACCTGTTCTATTGATCATTACTGAAAATCATGACAACTAGAAAATACAGGAATGAATTCTGGCAGCCTCTGCATTACTTGGATTCTTCACAGCAAGCATGTCCTTTGCATGAACTTTATAATTGTGTGCGTGCCTGTCTGTGTATGTGGGTATACATACATGTGGAAATCAGATGTCAGCCTTGGATACCATTCTTCAGGAGCTATCTACCTTGTTTGTTTTTTATTTATTTTTATCATTTTAAATTACATATAGGTGTGTGTGTGTGTGTGTGTGTGTGTGTGTGTGTGTGTGTGTGTAGGTATGTGTGCATGAATATACATGATGCCAGAGGCATCAGATTCATCTGGAACTAGAATTAAAGGCAGTTGAGAACTGCCTGACATGGGTGCTGGGAACCAAACTCCTGGAAGAGTAGCAGGTACTCATAACCACTGAGCCACCTCTCCAGTCCCTACCTTGTTTTTTTTTTTTTTTTTTTTTTTTTCTTTTTTTTTTTTTTTTTTTTTATTTGCTTGTTTGTTTGGTTAGTTGGTTGGGGCTGTTTTGTTTTGCTTTGTTTTATTTCGTTCTTTGTTTTTTGAGACAGGGTCTCTCATTAGAACTCACCCAAGAGGCTTGGATGGATGGCCATTGAGACCCAGGGATTCAACTACGTTTATCTCCTCAGTACGAAGATTATTAATGCAAGCCACTATGCCCACATTTTTACATGGGTACCAAGGGTCCAACTCAGTTCTCATGCTTGCACAAGAAACATGCTATCAACCAAGCCATCTCCCCGGTCCTTGGGGATTGGGGGTGGGGGTTGTTGAGTGCCATGGATTTGCACTTTCTTTTTTTTTTTAAAGATTTTATTTATTTATTATGTATACAACATTCTGTTTCCATGTATATATGCACACCAGAAGAGGGTACCAGATCTCAGAAGGGATGTTTGTGAGCCACCATATGGTTGCTGGGAATTGAACTCAGGACCTCTGGAAGAGTAGTCAGTGCTCTTAACCTCTGAGCCATCTCTCCAGCCCTGAATTTGTACTTTCTTAATAAGGATGGCATGAGGTCATGTGAAAAGCACCTGGAGATGACAAAGCACTATCCAAATGTGTGTTTGTTTATGCCCCTCCTTCTGCCATAAAGGTCCGAAGGTAGCTCCCAGGCATAAGTACAGTACAACATGAACAGGAAAAGTTAAAGGTAGAAGCAGAAAAAAAAGAGAGAGGAAAAGAGGGAGAAGAAAATAGTGGGGCCTCCAGAGAGTCTGAAATGAGGCAGACCAAAAGCACATGATCCCTGAGGGCTCCACTGGCTACCTGGCAATGGTGCCATTGGAAATTTAGAACGTTCTAGCAAGCTCCGGTATACATGCCAGCTTTTTTGAATCTGCTTCCACACTCTTCTACTTCTCCTTGAGCCCTGATAACTCCTAACACCCACACAGTCTTGTGGAACTGGGTTCTCCATTCCCTGTGCATTCTGGCTCCTGACTTTGGCTCCTTGCGGTCCTGGTGATGCCCCAGCCCTTGCCTGGCTCACAACCTCTTCCACCGTCAATCTAGCCCACAAAGCTCCTTCTTACTGTCTCACCAGCTTTCTAACTAAAATGAGCCATTTCTGACCACTGTCTGCACATCAGGAACCATGGGAGGCTCCAAAAGTGCCAAAGATGTCTTGCTCAGCCCTGGAGGAGCTGCTGGAGGAATGCAATTCCTCCACCAGGCAGCTGGACTCCCTGAGCCATGCTGCCCTCCTTCCAAGGAGACCCCTGTGACCCATCCAGTTCTGCACTAACTGGAAAGGTTCCCAGTGCCCCCTTCCCCTCGCCAGTCACCTGCAGCTAAACTTCAACACCTCTTTCCCTCCTGAATTCCTAAGAAGAGGTCACTCCCTTTCCAGGCAGGCTCCTCTGCATCATCACCATTGAGGATCTGGGAGGGACCTGCTTCCCTCGCATCCTCACTGAAGATGTGCATGGCACATTGCTCTCTTTATCTTGAAACACAACCTTGAGACCAGAGCCTCAACCTTCTTTAGTCAGGCCATCTGCAAGGCCACAGGTGAATCAGGCAGGGTTGGAAGCTGAGTTGGGTAAGGAAGCAAGCTCCCCCTTAAGTGCCTCATTCCCTTCGCTGCTTTCACTATTAATAACAGTGCAACTACTAAAACTGTAAGAGTGATGGCTTGACTTGTACTCATGTGTGTCTTCGTTTCACAGGGAAGGAAGCTGAGATTTCTGCCTGCTGCAGGGATGGAGGGAAGAGTGTTAGGTAGCAACTGAAGATGTATGCCTGCAAAGTTCAGAGTGCCCCCACCTCCAGCTTACCTCACTCCTCCTTTGCTCCTAGGTCTCTTCAGTCCCAGTTCTAGAGAGAATGGTGTTGGATGGAGAAGGAGCAAACACAAAGAAAGATGGTTCTGCTCTGTGATAAGAGGGAGGAGGGAGGGAGGCAGGGAGGGAGGGAGGGAGGGAGGAAGGGCCTAGAAATGGCTCAGTGGATAAGAGCAGTGGCTTTCAGAAGACCTGAGTTTGATTCCCAGCACCCACATGGGATTCACAACCATCTGTAACTCCAGACCCAAATGATCAAACACCCGCTTCTGGCCTCTGTGGACACTACATGATCATGGTGTACATCCACACATGCAGGCAAAACACTGTACACATAAAATAAAAATAAGTAAATAAAAACAAGAAAGGAAAAACAGGAGGAGGAGGGAAGGTGGGTGGAGGAGGAGAAGGACAAGGAGGAATTAGAGGGAGCTGAAAAAGAGTAAAGGCATCTCTGGGTTCCATGGCAAGTCATGACATTTGTGCCCTGCACACCAAGGTTCCAGTGGCAGGAATGGCTGATAAAAGAGAACTAAAGGAGAGAAACAACTCTGTTTCTATAACAACAGCCTCCTTGGGACCTCGGAAGAACAGAGTCCAAATCCGCTCCACGGCATTGGGCCAGGTCCCCTTGCCCAGCTGCCCCACCTGGAAAGTTAGTAGATAGTATACAGCACCCTGGCTTGCCGCAACTCAACTCTCCCCAGCTCAAGCCTGGGGCTAGCTGACCACTCTTCCAGACTCCCTTAGCCTTCACTCCATCCCTCCTCTGCTCCCAGAAGGGAAAAGAGCCAAACTTTAGGGGAAGAGCCTACAACACCACAAATTCACCGTGTTCTCCAACTCCTGACTCCTCAGAAGCCAATTCTTCCAACTTGTCTGTCTCGAGTCCAGAGCATTCTGGGTAGCATTTCCCTAAAACCAGGGTCATGAGAGTACTGTCATCACCTGTCCTAAGAATAGGGACCTTAGATCCAGAATCCTACTGCAAAAATCTGTTCCTGTCTTGTAGACACTCAGCCCTCCCCACCTCACTGCTTCTCACTATATTGCCTGATAGAGTTCAGGGAAACCACTGGCCTGGGCTGGGCTTGGCGGTGCAAGCCCATCATCCCAGCTACTACAGGAAGAAGATCACAAAGTCAAAGCTGGCCTGAGCATACGGAAAGTTCGAGGCCATCCTGGGCAATGCAATAAAAGTCTGTCTTTAAAAGTAAGGACCCGGCATGGGGGCACACACCTTTAATCTCAGCACTTAGGAGGCTGAGGCAGGTGGATCTCTATGAGTTTGAGGCAAGAAGATCTCTATGAGTTTGAGGCCAGCCTGGTAGTGCGCTGCAGGACAACCCAGGGGGCTTCATAGTGAGACTCTACCTCAAACAAACAAACAAATATAAAAAGTAAAAAGAGGATTGGGGAATGTACCTCAGTGATGGAATACTTGTCTGTATGCCCAAGTTTCTGGATACAAGCCGTAGTACCAGGAAAACAACAAAAACCACAAGACAGAATGAATGAGGCCACACACTGCTCATGGACAGCATTCATAAGCACACTATACATTTCCACCAAACCAAGACTCATCCCCCTGCTCCTGACACCAGCCAGCACTGGCTCCTTCTCCCCCGGCCCCTACAGAGGGTCCTCACAAGGTGGCAGACTGGCTAAGGGGACCTGGCTCTTACCTGGGCCCCTTAGCCATGCCCATCCCCTTGAGGCTGCCCTCGGGGTGCTCACCTTAATGTAGGCTTGTTCCCAGAGGCCTCTAGCTCGTCCAGAAGCAATAGTTCCTTCTCTAAGAAACGGAGAGGCCAACCAGACCTGTCTCCAGGCCACCAGACAAGTGGACTTGGGCGGGGAATCCAGGCAGGTGTGGCCTGTCACTTCCCGGCAGCGTCCTGCCTCCTGTCACGCTAAGCGGGGGTGGGGGGTGGCGGAAAGTGTCTTGTCTATCTATTGGCAAAGTCCAGGTGAAGCATGGGAGTCAGTACACTTCCCAGAACAGGTCTGGAAGGGAGGGGAAAGGGAGGCAGCTTTGGTGCACGCCTTGCGTCTAGAAGCCCCCTCCTCACAGTGCCCTCTGCTGGGGAGCAGCGGTCTAAGGCTGCTAGTATGACAGAAGAGGAGGGAACCTTCGCCAGAGGTATCAGATTACTGAGACGCTCAGGACTCACCTGGGAATCTTGTTCAAACACAACCGCTGTTTCCACGGGGTCTGGACTGGAGACCGAAGCTCAAAGATCCTTCCGGGAGAGCCAGTGTAACCGGTCCACGCACCGAGAGTTTCTTTTCAGTCCTTTCTGCATGGGGAGATCGCACAGGTACAGAGTGATGAACTCACGTGTCTGCTCCTCGCCCCCCCCCCCCGCAGAGTTTGTTGGGACGCTGTCCTGGGGGGGCGGGGGGGAGCTGGAGTTAGTGCTGTAAGTCTCAAGGCTCTGAGTCCTGGAGAGCATAGCCCAGGAGGCGAGCCTCTAGAATGAAAACCCTCTAGGGGTGGGGAGTTGGCCGCCCGACTGCGGCTGTCTGCCTCTTCAGCACCAGCCCCTTTCCATGGGCTCTTACATCCACTGAACATCTTGGCTTTTGTGAACAGCGCTGCAATAAACATGGGAAAGCCTGGGAAGAGCCGGAAGCAGGAGGTGGGAGATGCTGGTCAATGGGTTGCCTTTTTATAGAATAAGCTCTGGTGCTCTGTGAGACTGCAGTACAGCAGTGTGTCCACAGTTAACAGTGGGCCAAGCATTTTGAAATAGTTAGAAAACAGGATTTTGACTGTTCTCACAACTTCAGTGATAAATGTTTGAGGAAATTAATATGCTAATTACTTTTATTTGTTCATTACAAAATGGATCCATGTATCAAGACATCTTGCATTATACCCAATAAATATATAGTTACTGTGAATCAATCAATCAATACAATTTTAATGTTTTTATTCATTTTTATTTGTGTGTGTTTTATGTTTATTTTTGTTTTATTTTGTTTTATTTGTGTGTGTGATTGTGTGTGTGCATGCACACACCTATCCTGTATGTGGGAGCCTTCAGAGACCAGAAGAGGGCATCAGATCCCCTGAAGCTGGAGTTATAAGCGGCTGTGAGCCACTTGATGTGGGTACTGGGATCTGAGTTCTGGTCCTCTGCAAGAGCCACAAATTCTATTAACCACTGAATTGTCTCCAGCTCCTCGATACAACTTAAAAAGAAAAGAAGAAACTTTGGTCTGGGAAAATGGCTCAGTCAGTACAATGTTTGCATTGCATGCTCAAGGACCTGAGTTCAACGGCCAAATCCACATAAAAGACACTCATAACTCTAGAGCTGGGGAGGTGGAGACAGATGGAACCCAGAGCCTACTGACAGTCAAGGCAACCAGCAGACTTGGTCAGCTCCAGACTGGGGAGAGAGCCTGCCTCACAAAAAGAAAAAGAAAATTGTGGACTCCAACTGAGAGAGAGAGCTGGCACTCAGGGCTGCCCTCCGGCCTCCATGTGCACATAACATACCCCGCATCCACATCCACACACATTTACCTGCACACACGTGTGCATATAAGTACACATGAAAGAACATATAGAAATGGCTTCCTCTTCTTTCCTCTTTTAGTTAATTATTCTCTAGTCTCACATCCCCCTCCCCTCTGCTTCCATTCCTGGGTGCAGATGCCAGGGATGGTGAGACAAACACACCCCAGGGAGCCCCAGTGGGTATCACCAGGGACCCGTGGAGAGCAGCCAGCCCCGCAAGGGTGACCTGGTGCCTAAAGGACAGGCAAGGAAGGGTGCTCAGAACTCAGATGGGGGACAAACAGGGAGGCAGCTGTCTTTGTTACACAAAGCTGCCCGAGTCACACAGAAGACTAGGCCAGCCAACGGGGACACTGTACCCTGTCCCTTTTCGGGGTGGCTGGGAGGGAGCACCAAGCCACTCCTACCCAGACGCCCCGCCCACCTCCTCCACCTGCAGCTTTCATCTCTGAGACACAAAGTGCTTGGGGGTTGGGGAAGACTTGCCAAACTCCAGCCAGGCGGAAACAGGCCAGCTGAAGTCGGAGGCTGTATTCATGGATGGTGAACTCATCTCCAAAGCTGGTGCTTGCCTCAAATGGAGACAATCGTGTTCCAGAAGATTGTCAAGGGAAATCTGGGGGGGCCTGGTCATCCCCAGGGACACAGAGCTGGGTCACAGAGACCATGGGTACCAGTAGGATTGTAGCTCCAGGCTGGGCTGTTACAGAAGGTCCAGATTTCAATGTCAAACTCTGAACTAGTCCATCGGGGGGGCCTCCTCCAAAGACCCATGAAAGAACTGAGACGAGGGGCCAAAGGAGGGGAAGAGGAGCAGTAGAGTGTTTGATAGCAGACATGAAGTCCTGAGCTCATTTAATCCCCGATAACACACACACACACACACACACACACACACACACACACACAAACGGGGATTGGGTGTGTGGACGGGAGCCTTCATGCAAACAGCAACAAAGACTCCCCAGCAAAGTCACCTCCCCTTTCATCTGAGAAAGGCAGACCAAGCAGGAGCCCAGCTCCACCCCTCTCCAGTCCCTCACCCTCTTCTGCCTTATACGGGTCATTTGTCATTAGGCATCCAGCCTGAGAGATGTGTGTCTGAGGTAAGTGAGGGAGGCCTGGGAACAGAAGAGAGTATGGGCATGGTCGTTGAGGGAGACCTCCAGCATCGGATTCAAAAGGAAAAATGGAGACAGGGAGAGAAGCAGGGAGAACCAAACAGAAAAATGCAGAGAGGTGTGAAGCTCAGCCCCCATCCCAGGCATCTCCAGAACTTGTCCCTGACCTATGATAGGAAAGGGCACTGAAAACAATCACATTTTTATTTCTGTCAAATTCCACTGATCTAAGACAGAAACTGAAATACAAAAACAAGTGAGAAGATTGATACTGACTGGGACCTTAGTTGGAGGAGGGCCTAAACATTGGCCCCCATGAAAATGGCATACAAAGAAAGCAACATGCAAATGAGAATAACAGTTTTGTTTTTGTTTTTTGTTTTGTTTTTTTTTTTTTTCCCTGCCAAAGACCAGGCTGTTGTGTCCTTGAGAGTCAAACCACAAGAAATCTGAACACCTGTGCTTGCAGACCAGACCTGTGGGAATGGGGAAACACAGACCACATCTCTAATGCTCCAGGAGCAGGTGAGAATTAAATACTTCCTAGAAAGGACCCACAGCGTCGGTTGGCGGTGCCTGAGGTTGGGCCGACCAGCCTGGGTGGATCTCGTGAGTGTTCCAGTCTGGTCTAATGAGATAAGAATGGGGCAGATGAGTGGGGCAACTGGGGTTATAATTGGCCCAGCAATCCTTGGCTCCTGCACTCAGAACATGGTTGCCATGTGTCTTTTCCTGGGAAGATGCAGACAAACATCTATTCACCTCAGAAAATGCACTGACAGAAAATCAAAGAAATGGTCCCAGCTAAGTCCAGCCTTGTGAACCAATGAACAAGCCTCATAAACTCCCTACCCCCTCCAGGATGTTTCTGTCAGTTTCTGTGAGGCACAGTCCTTGAGACACAGGCTTGCTATCTGCCTGACCAGGTGCTGCCCTGGTGGGAGATAAAGATCAAGCCTGGTCCTGACTTCCAGAAGTCAGATGGCCACGGAGAAAAGGAAGCCTTTGACTCAGAGCAATTGCTGATGCTGAACTGTGCTCCCCAGAGGCTGCATGAGTGGTGAATGTGGGGAACATAAGGCCATGGGTGCCAGCAAATAGCAGAGTAGTGGGAGCTGGAGATGGTTCAGAGGTCACGACTGGAACTGGGCTCAAGGCAGGGGAACCGCCAATCTGGCTAGGTAATCGCAAGGTTTAAAGGCCCAGGAGACAGACCGAGGAAGACTCATCCCAACTTGCTCTCTGCCTCCCCAGGTTGTTGCCTCTATGTGGTGAATGAAGCTTCAAGGGCCTGTCTTTGTGGGTGTGCCCCTCCTGGGACCCATCCTGATTTGCATGTTCACTCATAATCAGACAACCAGTTGGTGTGAGGATGAGAGGAAGCTGTGGTGCCCACCCCACAAGGTCATATTGCTTGTATGGGCGACCATCTACTCTGTCATAGGGTGAGTGTGTGACCTTGGTATCTGCCGGGTGAAAGCAAATTGCCCTGTGTATGAGCTTGTGCTGTACACTGGGCTCCAAATGGATGGCACCCCATTGTTTCTCTCCAAGTAGGGGTCTCACAAGCAGAATGCCCTACATGCCTAATATCCTAACAAGTTCTCCAATCCCCTCACCTTCTTTAATCCTCCCAGCCTTCTCCCCAAGACACCCAATTTCCCTCACCCAAATTCTCCCACCAATTCTCCCTTGACTCTCAAGATTTATTTTATTTTCATGGGTGATTGTGTCTGTGTCTGTCTGTCTGTCTGTCTGTGTGAATGCATGCTGTGCAGCAATGTCTATGGAATCCAGAAGAAGGCATCAGGTCTTCTGGAGTTGCAGATACAGGAAGTTATAAACCACCTGGCAAGGGTGCTGGGAACCAAATTTGTGTCCTCTGGAAGGGCAGGAAGTGCTCTTAACTGCTGAGCCATCTCTCTAGCCCTCCCTTAGCCCTCAAATGATGCTTGCACCCACCTGCCCACATGCCAGGCTCAGGGTACTCCTTGACAGCCAAAAGATCTTATGCCAGAGGGCCCGGATCCTACAGAACACCCTCTCTCTGCAGCTATGCCTCCTACCTGGTGTGGAAGGACCTGGGAGGGGGCTTCCGGTGGCCCCTAGCACTGCCCCTTGGCCTCTATACTTTGCAGCTCACCCTCAGTTGGACTTTCTTGATGCTCTTCTTGACAGCCAACAACCCTGGGCTGGTAAGTGGTACTCCATGATGGGAGGAGAACATGAAACTACAGGGCCCCACATCAGACAGTCAATATCAGGGACCAGCAAGTGACCTGTATGCAATTCCTACAGTGTGCACAGTGCCCCAGGGATGGGATTTGTTGGGTCAGGGTCCTGTAGAAAGGCAGAGGGTTCTGACTCTTGACACAACATGGCTACACCCTCCTGACATTTCTGCCCAGGCCCTCTTAGACCTGTTGCTGCTCTATGGGCTGGTGGCGAGCATGGTGCTTATCTGGCAGCCGATCAACAAGCTGGCTGCTCTGCTCCTGCTGCCCTACCTGGCCTGGCTCACTGTGACTACTGCCATCACCTACCGCCTGTGGAGGGACAGCCTATGTCCAGCGTACCAGCCTTAGCCATCTGAGAAGAGCAACTGAGGCACCAGGGTACAGGAGAGGAGGGAGGATGGTGAGTGGGAGGGGTGGTTGTGGAGCTGGGGACACTTGATGTGACCATCCTCCTGGATCTGAATTCAGAGAAATAGAAAAGAGGGGGCACCTTCTGTCGCATAATAAAATCCTGCTGTTGACTTTGAGGGTGTGATGTAAGGTGGACATCGGCACGCAGCATCTGGGGCTGCAGAGTGGGAGCCCTTCTGTAGGAGTGACCAGTGGGGTGTGGGAACACATGCCCGGGAGGGTGGCCAGCATAGCCCCTCTCACATGCCTCCCCCAGCCCAGCATTTAGCACATACCTCAAAAACAGAATCTTGGGCCAGTAAGATGGCTCAGCAGGTAAAGCCCTTGCCACCAAAACAGAAACAGGAACCACATGGTGAAGGGAAAAAACTAACTCCCAAAAGTTGACCTTTGACCTCTACATGAGCACTGTGACACACACACATAAACACACATGGAAATATATGTGCACGCGCACGCGTGCACACACACACACACACACACACACACACACACACACACACACACACACACCCCAAATAGATAAACAAATAAAAACAGTCTTGCCTAGAGTGTTGGTGAACTCCTGTAACCCCAGCAGCATTCAGGAAATGAATTCAAAGTCATCCTGGCTACCAAGCAAATTAAAAAATAAAATTTTGAAACATCAATTAAAAGGAATATAAGGAAAACTAAGTGAAAAGGACTACAGAGGAGCCAGCATGAGCCAGCAGGTAAGTGTCTGAGACCACCTGACAACTGAGTTGTATCCCAAGCCCCACATGGCAGAAGGAGAGAACCAAATGCCACAGATTGTCCCCTGGCTTCCACATAGGTTCGCCGCCCCCTCCCTCTCGCTCTCTCTCTCTCTCTCTCTCTCTCTCTCTCACACACACACACACACACACACACACAAATAAACACATAAATATACATGTAAAGAGGATAGATACAGTAAGTACATAATATATTTTATAGAATGTATAGATAGATGATGTAACTGTACCTCTCATTATATATGTCATGCTAAGATCATTGAGATGATCTCTGATTAGCTAACAGCTGTTTTTTCTTTTCCTAGACTCCTTTGTTTTTAATTATTAATGTCTGTTCACTGCTATTTATAAGGAGGAGTTTGAAGTGGGGTGAGCCCCAGGGTGCTGAGAGGTGAGGGCAGGGTGCTGAGAGGTGAGGGCAGCAGGAACTTGTTGATCAACCTTAGCTTCTGCTTTCTAGATCACCTCAATGACTTTTTCATTTTCTCCTCCCTCCTCTTATTTTGTGTCTGCCTCTGTTTGATATTTTGTGTCTGCCTCTGTCTGGCAGCCCTCATGCTAGGAGACAGTAGTAGGCTGTGCCCTTGACCCCTATGCATGATAAACTAGGGGGCCCAGATATCTTGCAACAAGGGGTCTGCATGAGGCATGAATGGAAGTGGGATGGGATCACTGGGGAGTTGTTTATGGCTCCTCGTGTGTGTGTGTGTGTGTGTGTGTGTGTGTGTGTTATGCATGTCTGTGGGAGTACATCTAGAGGGGTATACCTGTGTCCTCACACCTGTGGAGGCCTGAGCTGATGAGTTCTCACCTTATTTGCTGAAGCAGTGTCTCTCAATCACATCCCAGCTTGCCGGGAGAATCCCGTCTCTGCCTTCTAAGACTAGTATTACAGTTGGCTCCTATGTCCCGCTGGTGTTTGGCTTTCCCAAAGTCCTCCCAGGTGCGCAGAAAGCATTTAACCACTGAGCTATCTTCTTTGCCCCTGTCTGTGGCTATGTAGCCTTGGCTAGCCTGAAACTCAAGTTCCTGCTGCTTCCTCCTCCAGAATTCAAGGATTGCATGCATCAACCAACATGCCCAGCTCAAGAGCTTCTAATACTAACCAGACACTCCAGGGATGGCCTGGGCATCACTGTTTGTGGGATACCCACTCCGGGGCTTCCCTAGGCCAGGGCTGAAGACCCTAGGTGTGAGCAACAGGCTACTTTGGAGCACTTAGGAGAGCCAATTACAAGCCTGACTTTGTAAGTTTGAGGTTGGGCTCCTGGCATCCGCACGTTGATCAGGCTCTTCACCATTTCCACCACTGAAGATCAAGGGCTCTGGACTTGGATCACCTCTCAGAGCCTAACTCCTGTACTCAGGGGGTCTGTGAGCTCCATTTGGAATCTGAAACAAAATGAGACCTGTGAGGAAGGAGTCAAACATCTGCCAAAGGAAGGGCCCCAGGCAGCAGCAGCATTTGAGAAGAGAGCTCCCACAGCCACAGGACCGGCGGGCGGGCGGGCACTCTCCCCCCCTCCATCAAAGGACGCTCCACCCAGCCCGGCAGCTCACCTGTGCACCAGCAGAGCAAACATGAGGTCCACCCACCTTTGTCTCTCCAGATACTCTCTTGGATGAACTGAATGAACCAGTAAATGGACACATTGTCACACTTTGAAAGAGGAAAATCAAAATGTCACTGCCCCCTCCCATGGGCTGGAGAGATGGCTGAGAGGTTAAGAGCACTGCCTGCTCTTCCAGAGGTTCTGAGTTCAATTCCCAGCAACCACATTGTGGTTCACAGCCATCTGTAATGAGATCTGGCGCCCTCTTCTGGCCTGCAGAGATACATGCAAGCAGAATACTGTATACATAATAAATAAATCTTTAAAGATAAAATGTCACTGTCCCCCCACCACCACTCCCAATCTCACTCTTGCCTTTGGATGAAATGAAAAAAAGAAAGGTTTATATAGTTCTAGAACTTCTTGTGATTCTAATCTGCAGCCAGATGATGAATCTCTGTAGGGCCTTGCTTCCCACAGTGTTTCCCACAGTGTGGCTGGTGACCTGATACCTGATGGCCACAGACTCTAGCCCACTGGGCCCTGAGAGCCAGACCACCCCCATGGAGTGAGGGCAGTAGAGCTCAGTGGCTAATAGGCAGACTCTCATGGTTCAGCTGTGAAATGTACCCCTGGTTCATATATAGAAGGTACTTATACAAAAGCACAGGGTTATAAACTGTTTACTGTGAAAGCATGAACACCTGAATTCTTATCCCTGGCACCTGCAGAAAAGCCAAGCATATAACCCTCATACACCTCTGTAACCACAATGCCGGGATGAAGAGGCAGGAGCATGGCCTATGATTCAATGAAAGATCCTAGCAACAACAGCAACAACAACAACAACAATAATAATAATGTAGAAGCTGGGTGTAGTAGTACATGCCTCTGGTCCCAGCACTCAGGAGGCAGAAGCAAGCACATCTCTGGGAGTTCAAGGAGAGCCTACATAGTAAAAGCCCATCTTAAAAAACAAATCAACTAATTAAAATAATAAGGTTTGACTGGAGAGTTGGCTCAGCAGTTAAGGGCACTGGCTGCTCTTGCGGAGGATGTGGGTCTGGTTCCCAGCACCTATGTGGCAGCTCACATCTGTAACTCCAATCCAAAGGATCTGTTGCCCTCTTCTGACCACCGCTGGGACCAGGCATAAAAGCATTGCCCATACATACATAGCAGGCAAAACACTCACACGCATAAAGCAAAATAAATAAATCTTTTTCTTTATTAGGTAAGGGATGAGAGCAGTGGAAAACACAAAGATCGCCTTCTGGCCTCCACACTCATATGTCTGAACACATTGCCTCCACAGGTATACAAACAACAAACCCCACAGCT